CGCCACAGTTAGAAAACAGAGCTACAACAGGTCACAAGTCAGCTCTTTAAAATGGAGCAACATTTGGGGTATGGGGCTGCCAGCAGGTCAATCTGTACCTGTGAGGCAAGTGCATCAGCAGCCTGATAGCACCTTCAGACTTCCAGATATCCCAAAATTTCTGCTGTGCCTTTGGCCAGACCCCAAAAACTTAGGGCAAAATTTACCAAGAAAGTAAATGACCAAAAGTTAGGTATATGGGAGACACACCCACAAACCACCTCCCACTCAGTTATGTAACTGGAGGCAAGGTCTCTCTGATTACTGATTGAACTGCTTAATGGTCATGATCCCAGAGACTCAGAGACAAATCTCAGAACTCAGAGGCTTTTGGCAGAACTGCATCCAGTCCCTGCAGTAGGTTACCCATGCCGGGCCACCCCAGGTGGGAATAGGTTTCGTGCCTTGGCCTGTTCCCCCTGGCGGCTCAGTGGCCGCCATCCTCCAGAAGACACTGGATGGTCAGGTTTGGGCCCGCAGTGATGAGATACACGGAACCACGTGGGATGTGGGTAGAGCTAGCCCTTTCCTCCCCACTCCAACGAAACCCCGAGTCACCACCCACAAACGGCCTCTCTGACTCCTGATCAATCTGCTTAACGGCCATGATCACAGAGACTCAGAAACAAATCTCAGAACCCAGCAGGTTTTGGCAGAAATCCTTCCAGATTTAAGTGTCAAAATTTTGAAATTCCAAAATCACGCAGCTACAACTGTAGCCACGCGACATCATGCATTATTAATAACCAGCAACAGAAAAGAAATTATCTACTGGTGCCTTTTCGACAGATTTGAGTATTGGGGTAAAATCCCAAATAATAATGATGGGTCTGGTGTCAAAATATTGAATGTAATCAAAGTAGACAGAGTGTAACATGAAAATCATCTGCCCCACAGGTAGAAGGAGGGTGTGGGGTGGGGGGTATACTGGGGTTTTTGGAGGTGGAAAATGGGCACTGGTGAAGCAATGGGTGTTTCATTGTATGACTGAGACTTAACCCTGAAAGCTTTGTAACTTCTCTCATAGTGAGTCAATAAATAAAATTATAGAAAAGAAAAAAACAAAAAATAAAATAACATAAAATGGAGCAATATCCCTAAAAATGGAACAGACTTTTAAGAAAATAACCGTAAATTCTTTGAAGGCCATTCGAAAGACAGTATCCATAGACCAAGATAAACATCTGCCAAGGTTCAAAATGGTGAAACCCTGGGTATGCACATCACCACGAGGACAAGGTAGGAGGGGACATAAGTAACCTCACTGCAAAAACTGAAGTGACTGCCCTATCAAGGACTAGAGAAAAAAATCCTCAAAGATCAGTGGGTCATGTACAAATGAATAATTAGACCTGTTAAGACAGAACTGAAGGATGACCTTCTAAAGGACTCAAAAACTATGTATTTAAAAGCACCAAAAAGATAAAAACTCCTGAAATAAATTTTTTTCTGCAGAGCATATATATAACATGAAAAAAGCGGGAGGGTACAGAGAGCTGGAGAGAGAGAATCTGAATAGCTGCTTCCTTAGTCTTTATCTGGAAAACTATTAAAAACATCGCAAATGCCAGCTTACCTTCTGCAACAGGTTGTAGGAAGTAAATCAAACTCTGAATAAGGGAAAATCTAAACCTAATGATTAAAGTAGATGTAGCAAAACAAACAAAAGCCTCATGGAGTCAAATACTCAAGGTAGGATTTGTAAATTGTTGGTTCCAATGGAAAATTTTAATTACAACCAGCCGTGACAGAGGATACCATTGCAAAGGGCCCCTGACCACAGAATTTTTTTAAATGGAGGACTTTCAGGCATTGGAGAAAACAACCTATTATTGTGGGCCAAAATACGAACAGGAATCAATGATATATTATTTAATACTCTCTCTAGTTGACAGAAATCAACAATGGAAGCAGACCCAAAACCAGTTTACAAGCTTATATACTTTCATGGAGGTGCCATGGGCCCACGGTTCACTCTCAGCTGAGCTGAGGATCTAATGCAGAGCTTCAAATATGTTAGCTCTGTGCTCTACCACTTAGGGTATCTCCACGGTCCCTTAAAAATTACATTCCCTCATGGTTAAAGCAATAGACAAATGGCAGAGAAACAGATGTATAAGCATGAGGACTTCGACGAGACAGGTGCTCAAAGTGGTCCTATTTAACATTTTTATAAATGATGTCAAAGGGGAACCTCGGGAGAAAGCAGGCAAGGGTGGATTAAGCTATTTCAGTAACAAAACATCAAGCAACAGAGATAACCATCCTTTCAGCATCAATCTGACAAACATGGTAGAATGCTTTTAACCAACTTCCACTTAACTAACTGTCCAGATTAACCAATGGTTTCCATTGCCCTTTTAAATCATTCTGACTGATATCCTGAAATGCACCAACTAGGAGGCCTCTTCCCATCCCATGGAGACCAAGTAGCCCTGCGACCTTCAGCTAAACCATACTTACAGGAAGAGTCATTCTAAACCCAAAGCTGTACATGCAGCTTTTCTTTATTAAGATAATACAATTTTATTAAATGATGGATTACTTAAAATTATATACGAGCGGCTGGAGCGATAGCACAGTGGGCAGGGCGATAGCACAGTGGGTAGGGCATTTGCCTTGCACGCATCCGACCCGGGTTCGATTCCCATCATCCCATATGGTCCCCTGAGCACCACCAGAAGTAACTCCTGAGTTCAGAGCCAGGAGTAACCCCTCCGCATCGCCGGGTGTGACCAAAAAAAGTTATATATATATATATATATATATATATATATATATATGTATAAAGAAGTAGTAAGGTATTTCCATCAAAAAAAATTAACTTCAAATGCTTTGAAATTTTTCCAAGATTATCCCTAATAAAACAATTGTGTTTTGAAGAACCACTAAATAAGACCAATGCATTGTAACTGTATAACAGGTAAAATAAATCCTAAATTTCCTCAAAAGTGCTTCAATTTTGCTTTTCTTTTGAGACACAAATTAGAAATAATGGGCAATCACCATGAACATGATATGGATAGGAAAGATAACCATGAACTCCAACCTTGGAGTCACAGTCAAAGAACAGTCTTGAACTTACATTAAAAAAAAAATTGCACAAGTTATAGTTACCTGGGTTAAAGCATCAAACGGTGGACCCAAGTCTCATCCTTTATACTATATATGATACCCTGAGTGCTGCCAGGAGTCATCAGTGAATGCAGACTCAGGAGGAGCCCTTGAGTTGACAGAGGTGACCCCAAAACACACTAAAAAAGGTAAAATATTGCCCCAAATGTGTATCCATAAGTTTTATGTTTTAATGAAATAATTAAGGTATGTACACATCATTTTAGGATTCCTCTACTTCAACACTTTGGCCAATTGACCAAGTGCTGATTATTTCATTTCATGTCAAAAAGGCTCCACTGTGTCTATGAATATGACCACTCTAAATGGGATCTGAAAAGAAAACAGTTGGTCTTAGTTCTCCTAGAAGTCAAATTTGAATGGTGTAGATGGATATGCTGACAAACATTAGCAAACCACCATACTAAGTACTGTAAACAAATGTACAAAGTCAAAACGTAAAGTTACAAACTTGGTCAAGAGAGCCATGTATTGAGCTGCTAGTACCAATGCTAGTGACATCCAATGAGGCTGGAGAGTGAGTTCAAGGTGATGTGTGTGAGTCAAACAGTACGTTACAACTGGGCGCTGGCACACAGAGCAGCACAAAGCAGCACCAGAGACCCCAAACCCCCAAATCCCCAGACTGCAGAGGCTGAAGAGGCATGCTGGGAATGACATCACTTGAGAGTATAAAATACAGGAACTCATTCCATTTTAAACAAAACAATGACATAATCACCCTCGTATTTCTGCAATACAACTTTCCAAATAGATGACAGATGATACAGGAAGAGACTAGTTATAAGATTATGATAATGTCCCACTTTTAAAAAAATCACAGTGCAACAAAATTAAGGAGGTAAAATGAGCTATGACTATATGACTAATGAGAGATCAGCAATAGCAGTGAGTCAGGAATAATTCTTAGATTTAGGAATTTAACACCTGATAGTCAAAGACGCACTAGTAGAAAACAAAGGCGTTTTAAAGGATCAGATAAGAAACATAATTATGGAAAAGAAGATGACAATTTAGAATTCTATAGTAGGAGAGAACTTGAAGATACGGAAATAATTGAGCATATTAACGAAAGACAAAAGCAGAAGGAAAGGAGAATGATGGAAATGTACCTGATACCAACATTAAGGTCAAGGAAACATGAAGACACAGGTACAGGAGCTAAAAACAAGAAGCAAAAGCACTAGAATGATGGAGAGGCCAGAGAATGTAATAAAGGAATAAACCACAGAAACTGAAAAACCAAAGTCAAATGAAAAAACTGTGAAATATACCTATACTTTCAGTATATTTGAAAGTCAAAAATCCATAAGCAAAAAAAAAAGTCTAAATTTGTCTGAATTTGGTGGCAACTCAAGAATCCTGAGCTGCAGCGTAATCTGGAAGATGGAAGATGAGGTAGAAACAAGCTCTTTAAAAGCAGTTCTTCTTCAACTGAAGGGATAAGTCAGGGGTTTACTAGAGAATGGATCTAAAAAGGGATTTTCTTTTTTTGAAAAAAAAAATAGAAGATAGATAGATGATTTTGAAGATTTCAGTAAGCTGAAAAGGAGACGAAAATGAGCAAGGGAAACACAGAGACGGAAAAAGAAAAATCAGAAAAAGAATCAACATAAGGGCAGCCCTAGTGCAAAGGAACTCATCTGGACCAGGCCCGGGAGAATGAACTGAAGATAAAAGTGAACAGTAACAAATGACAACCTGGCCAAGGGGGAAGTCAGGAGTTGGTGGCTGAGAGAGGTATGCTCACAGTGTACAGGTACAGAGTTTCTGAGCCAGAAAGGCACTGTGGGGGGTGAAAGGTATAAAGAGGTAATGACTCTTACCTTGTGTGCAATGCAGAAGAACTTCAGAAACTCTGAGAATGGATCTGTAGCATTTCCCCTAAGAACAAAAAAAGAGGGAGAATTCATTTCACAAGGGGTAGAAATTCCAGTCTGCATGTTTAAAGAAGCCTGGCATCAAAAGTCAGCATTAACAACTCCTAGAAAGTATCTTTCCAGTAAGCTCTTAACACACATAAAAGTATAACTGAAATATAAATAATTCCCCACTAGAACTGAGAATAAAATATACAATATTACCTTTGCAAAGCTATGATGTTCTCCCATGTATTAACCACAAACCGAACTAAATAATGCATGTTAAAGAGGGTATCTACTTACAATTTAATGGTCCTGAAAATGGGGATAGACTATAAAAAGTAATACGGTGTTTGGGTCTAGAAATATGAATCAAACAATCTATGAAATGATAACTAACATGGATTTTATAATCCAATTTGTCCCTCTCATCTTGGCACCAGCAGACTTGGTGTGTCTTAATGAAAGCTGGAAAGAACTTATGACACAGAAAAGGGAGTGGGAAGGGAAATCACTATTCTATAAGCAGGTAGTAAATCTACACAAAATAACTACTTTGTCTATAAAAAAACTAATTTTTTAAGTTCCATAGAATTTTTTAAAAAATCAATGGATAGCAAAGTAAACAGAAATAAGATATGATTTAAAGAAATTAAACATACTCGTGAACTATGTAAAAGAGGCCTGACAATTAAAAATAAGAGTTTCCCTAACAGGCCATGGGTCTAGTCTGGCCCAACAGATTGTACTAACATTATTTTAAGTAAATGCCAATGAAAAAGAATGAGCCATGATTCGTGCATTATCCAAAGAGGGTAAAACACAATGTAATCTAATTAACAGGCATCTCCTAAATTTCCTTCCCCTTCAAAAAATTTGACAATCTACTATAGAAGTTTACATACATTATTAGAAAACAGAAAGCAGGAGGACCTCCTTATGAAATCCCAAGTTCTCTCTTATGAAATCCCAAGTTCTCTCTACAAAAGAAATTTTACCTGAATACACAAATTTACTTAAGAATAAAACAGATGGAAGCAAATCTCTGGCACTTTGCCTATTATGTGATTTCTTTTGTACCTGACAGCATTTAACAGAGTATCTGGTATATGGCAAGTTCTCTTTAAAAAGAAAATTAATAAAAGCATAATGATTTAAAGAACAGTGAAACATAATTATTTTGAAAAAAGAAAACACATGAATGAATTCTTGTCAGCTCCTGATTTATACCCTTTCCAAGATCTTTATTTATATAACCATGACTACTCTTAAATACCTACAAGAAACAAAATAGCATAATTTGCAGAAATAACACAGAATTATTATAAGCTATAATTTTTGTTTTTGCTTTCTTGCTATTAACTAGGACTATTGGTTATCTAGGATGGCTAATACAACCAAGCAGTTGACTGTTACTACGAAAGGGGGCAAGGAGAGGGGGTTTATATTTTCTTAGTGATTCTGACCATGTGATCCTAAAGTACAAGATGCCTAAAAGGAGCCAATTACCATGGATTGGGCATAGAGGAGAATCACATGCAAAAATGTTGACCTCTGCACTTCCGTAAACCTTTCTAAGACGTTTTTTGAGGCAAAGCAAGTTCCAAATCCTGTTCAATGGTGCTCAAGGAAATGCTTTGTTCAGGCAGTTTTTAAAGAAAACAGTCAATAACTATGCTTGTTCCTTTGAATTCAGCTGCACCAGCTGCTTATTTAATGACACTGAAATTAGGAGGCTTTGTTCTGCTGGTGGCCACACAGCAGAGATCCTTGGTATACTTCTAGCTCCCAAACAAAGCCCTTTAAAAGGCATCTCTCCCTGTGTCATCAATCCACACATGTCCAGAGAATAAATTATTTGCAAAATAAACAAGTCAAATGGCCCAAATATATAATGGAAGAATTGAGAAGGGAATGCATTATGAGAGAAAAACCTTTAGGGCTGAACATTAATGACTTCATTTACAAAGTAAAGGCAGGGCGTATTTCTTAAAATACCTCCCCAAAAAACATGGGACAAGCTATGACTCTGGCTAATATTAAAATCAATATTATATCCGTTCTCTATATCACTCAAATAAATGCCATGACGACAGCGGTGGCACTGAAAACTCAACCAGAGGGAGTGGGCCGTGACACTGGTATTATTCTCTCCCCACTTCATAATTCCCATAGAAGTACCATCAGCCAAGCAGACCAGTTTACTCTCTTTTCTTTGGGGAAAAAAAAATACTTAAGCCCTTTGATTTCTATTCCGATTAATAATAGTTTCAGGCATACAGTGTTCCAATTCCCTCCACCAATGTTCAATGGTTCCAGATCTCTCCCACTCCCTGACTCCACCCAACCACCATGGCCAATTTCAAGTTACTCTTGTTTCTTTATGTGTTTGGCAGTGCTCAGAGGTTACATTCCAGCCAGTGCTCAAGAAACCATATGCAGTGCCTGGGATGAAACCAAGCTGAGCCACATGCAGGGCAAGTGTCTTAACAACCCCTGCCCAATACTATCACTCCAGCCCAAGTCTAGTTTACTTTTCTCAGAAATGTCATCTTTCCAGTAGTTAAGAAGCGAGAAAAGCCAGAAATCATCAGATATTTTTTTTTCTTTTTGGGCCACACCCAATGATGCACAGGGGTTACTCCCTACTCTGCACTCAGGAATTACCCCTGGCAGTGCCCAGGGGATCATATGGGATGCTGGAAATCGAACCTGGGTCAGCTGCATGCAAGGTAAATACCCTACCCACTGTGCTATTGCTCCAGCCCCAAAATCAACAGATTTTTAAAAAGTCATCCCTGATTGAAAAAACTGAAAACAAATTCTTTCCCCCTTCTGCTTTTTTCTCACTCTTAAATACATGTACACATGCACACATAGGCTATACTTTTGTGGTTTTCCCTCAATAAACCAACTCCAAGTGCCTCTAATGATGTAAGAGAGATCACCCATGCAGAGAATTTATAGACTGCTACAGGGTCCCACCATGTCTCTTCCAAGTTCTCAAAGGCAAAATGAATGAATCAAAAGCGGGGCTCTAAGACCTCTCAATCACACTGTGTTAGTGCTCACAAGGCAATCCAGCAGACTTCCCCTTGCTTACATAAGCAAATTTGACTGCACACACCCAGTACTGATTGCTGTTGGGACCCAAGTGTTTGGGATGTACAGAGTTGAAGACACTTATCCTCACCAAAGTCATGCAAATGGTTTGAGACTGTCTGAATTTCAGGTGTCCCTGAGTGCAAAAGGGAAGACAGGCAAATGAGGAAGCAACTGAATGTTCCTGGATATCAAAAATGCATGATTTCTACAAAGGATTGTAGGCACAGTACCGCAGGATGCCAAGAGGACTCAGCTGTGGTTCTATTCAATTCAACAAATATTTATTATGCATCTTTTGCCAACTCAAATGTATGAAGAATTCCAAATTATATTTATACCCTCAGAGTATAAAACAGTGCTGGAACAGACAGTAGGAACTTCATGAATGCAAGAATAAGAAAAGAAAGGATGAAGAGGAAAGAACAGGAAGGGAGGGAAGGAACTTTTAGAGTGGGCATTCGCAAAGTACCTGAGATAAGCAATAGGGCAAATGGATTTCCAAGGTTCTGGCTCATGACTTAATCAGTTTTATTTCCCTGCCTTTCTTTTTGTATCTAGCTTGGGTTTGACCAGTCCTTTATCTTAAAGCATCAGACAGAATAAATCAAAAGAGAGGTTCACTTTTAAAACTTAAATTACAGGGGCTGGAGTGATAGCACAGCAGGTAAGGCATTTGCCTTGCACACGGCTGACTAGGGGTCGATTCCCAGCATCCCATATGGTACCCAGTGCACTGCCAGGAGTAATTCCTGAGTTCATGATGCATGAGTAACCCCTGTGCATCGCTGGGTGTGAGCACCCCCCCCAAAAAAAAGCAAAAAAAATTTTTTTAAATTACAAGTTTTTGTTGCTAGAATTTGGATAAGCAAGAATTAAAAGTGGCTCTTGCCCCTCACCACACATTAGAATCCTGTAGGACCATCTGGAAGTCAGCAGGCCTGCAAGCCCGGAGCACTGCTCCCTGCCCAGCCAAGCCCCCAGGAGTGAAGATGGAGCATAAGTGCCCCACCCGGGTCCCTGACTGCAGGAATCCCCATCTCTACCTCTGCAGCTTCAATAGGGAACAAAGAGAAACACTACCCAGCTGGTTTTCCTGGAGAGCTCCCTGTCACTGAGAGGGTGCAAATAATGAATTGGAAAGACTAAACCCCAGACTGCAAAAGGAACAAGGTGAAAGCAGCACAAAATGCCACCAGGCTTAATAACCACCTTTATAACCTCTGAGATAAGGATGTTACAGAGGAAATGTTGAGCGTGTTTAAGGAGCTCAAAGAAACATGGAACAGAAGCCAGTAAGACATAAGAAGCTAAGAGAGCAGGAATGAGAAAGCTGAAAGTCAAAAATGAAAGACTAAAGAATTTGGTAGGTGCAGCTGGAGCAACAGCACAGTGGTTAGGGTGTTTGCCTTGCACACAGCCGACCCGGGTTTTATTCCCAGCATTCCCTGAGCACCACCAGGAGTAATTCCTGAATGCAAAGCCAGGAGTGACCTCTATGCATCACTGGCTGTGATGCAAAAAAAAAAAAAAAAAAAAAAAAAAAAACGAACAAACGAAAGAAAGAAAGAAAGAAAGAAAGAGAGAGAGAGAGAGAAAGAATTAGGTAGGTGAAATGGAGAACTCACTAGAAGGACTAGAAAGTCTGAGCAAGAGTAACAGCTTCTGAAGACAGAATCAATGAGCTCCAAGATGAAATGGGGAAAACCTCCAGATAACTGCAGATGAGGGGAGGAAGCCTCCAAATAAATAAATAGCAGACAAGAGAACATTGCGGTGAATTCAAGAGGAACAATATAAAAACCATTATGGTCCCAGAGGCCAGGAAGGCAATGCCAATGAAAAAGCAATAGTCGCAGAAATCATCACAGATAAATTTCCAGAGTTGAGGAGCACATGCAACCATATTCAAGAGGCCCA